TTCCCCATTTAATTGATTTTTAATCTGTAACAAAATTGAAAATCATAGAAGTGCGAAGTTGCACAACAGCGAAGTTTTAAATTTAAATAATAAGGGGTATGATTTAGGCAACTATGGGGGTCCGATTTAAGCGACTGTAGCATACATTTTAATAATGTCATAATTTTTTAACCACACCATTATATGAACTATATTAGTGAGAAACAATGACCTCAAACCCTATTATTTAAAATAATATATAGATTGAATAGCTTACCTGCTAATATCGCAAAGAAATAATAAAAAATATAACACAACGTAAAAACTTTCCACACAACCAACACACGTGCAAGACGACTGGCAAGCAATAAGTGACGTAGCCGGCTTGTGCACTTCACCACTGAGGTATGGAATTCTAATATAACATTTGCACTCATTGCCGCCACGATTTAAATTAAAACGTACCACGAAAGCTAGGGCTCCACTTTAGGGGGATGGTCCACATTTGGGAACTTTCCTCTAATAAATAAAATTTCTTTATTAAATTTTAAAAATATTGTTTGTTTCGTAGTAGTTTACAGTACCACTTTTTTCTTGTTTAAATATTGACTATATGCACATATGCTTGGATGTATAGTAATTTCAAGTCAATGCCAATCGGCCAAAATTTAACCAACGTAGCCAAAAAGTAGTTACTAAATTTACTAGACAGTTGGGATTGGGATCAACGAACCGAGTACACTCAATATTTTGACTGCGCCATGACGTCACTGTGGTCAACGATATATCGCTAATAAAAATACCATCTCATCCCACCTCTATATATTGTTGTATGCCTATGAAATGAAGCGAGCAAAACTTTCTGAAAACTCTAAGATAGTGACTAATAGTACAGGTCACGTGGACGGATGCCTAGTTAATACATGATTATGTCGACGTTTATAAAAATCCTAATTAGCTAATAATAAATTGATTCTATTACATTGAATAATTGTAAAGATGTGACCATCTTGAATGATTCTTCGACGATAATAATGTTAATCTTCGTGGTTTTGACCTGTGGTGGTACAGGTGGAATGAAGAAGTTTTAAGTCAGACAATACATATTATAACTTCTACATAATTCAATTCGTAGTTATTGCTTCTGTATTTGTTCTCCTCCTGTCAAATTAATACTAATCGCTTTTTACAACAGTGCATTTTACAGATCAAAGATGCCGAAGGAAAGGCTAATTCTGCCTTAATGTAAAGAGCAATATAATTAACATATTAAATTTAATAAGAAATATTTTAATGTGCTTGCTTTCATTTTACGCAAAGCGTTTCATTCATGCTGTATAGAGGCACACATGCTTCACAAATATTTAGGACTTTTTCATTTAAGAAGAAGAAGAAGAGTTTGAAAAAACAAATAAATTAATTTTAATTAAAATTTGATCTTAGGGCTATTTTTATCGTTAATTAAAATAAGTGGCTTCAAAGTATTCTTCAAGCAGTTGCCTTTAAGGAAAGGATGGACAATAGGAACATAAATTAAACCAAATAATTTTGTGGTATTAAACTATTAAATAATTTATTAAAAAAGAATAAAAAAAATTATTAAATTCAGACAATTTTACAATTAATCAGAATCATTATATCATTCACGCTAATCCGTATAACTGATATTACAAATTCATTAAAATTACTATATAAATCACCAATAATTGTTTGGGCTTATTTAAATAAAAGATCTCTTGTCTGTGTTTTTTTTAATAAAATCAAGACAAAGAACTCTCTTTCTAGAAATATTACTTTCTTTTAATTTTTTTATATCTGTATTAAAAGATTATATTGATTGTGAAATGAAATCACTGAATAAAATCAGAGCACACTAGTTCGCTCCCAAGGTCAAAACCCCTCTTGATTACATACTGGTTCGTTCCGAAAACCATAACCTAGTTCGCTCCCGTGGTGAAGCGGATTAGGTATTTATCTGTTAAGTTCTAGGAAAATTAACACCAGACAAATAGGTACTGCGACTTTTGTATTTTATATTAGAAATTATATCAAATATTGGTAGTTACATATTTATATAAATACAGTGATAAGCGCACTAATAACCGGCAAAATAACTCAAACTATGGAAAACATATATGAAGTTCTAAAATAAAAGAGATGAAACTAGTAGAGATGAGAAATTTAGCAATCTTCTTCTCGTGCCACTCCTAGCGGAGATTGAAAATCATCATGGCCATTGCGACTTTGTTAGCAGCGCGCCTAAAAAGTTCAATCGAACTACACCCGAACCATTCACGTAGATTACGAAGCCACGATATTTTTCTTCTTCCCACACTTCTTTTGCCCTTAATTTTGCCCTGCATGATGTTTCTTAAAAGTTCGTACTTTTCACCTCTGGCAATGTGCCCCAAGTATTCCATCTTTCTAGTTTTTATCTCATTTAGAATTTCGCATCTTTTGTCTAAAGTTTGGAGTACTTGCGTGTTAGTGACGCGGTCCATCTATGATATTCTGAGAATGCGCCCATAGCACCACATCTCGAAAGCTTCGATGTTTTTTATGGTCAACTGCTTTAGTGTCCAAGCCCTAACTCCATATAACAGGGTAGAAAAGACATAACACCGCAGCATTCGTATTCGTAACTTTATATTGATATCACGATTGCAAAAGAGTTTGCGCATTCTATTAAAGACTGATCTAGCGATTTCTATTCTACATCTAATCTTTTTTGTTTGATCAGTGTCGTCTGTGATCCAAGCACCTAGATATTTATAACAGGGCACACGCTCAATCGTTGTATTGTCTATTACAAGATTAGCTCTGATGTTCTTTGATTTCGTGATTACCATAAATTTAGTTTTTTTCAAATTAATTTTCAAATCGTAACTGTTACAGTATGTATTGAGACTTTGAACGAGATGTTGTAGTTCTACTAGCGTTCCCGTTAGGAGAACTGTATCGTCAGCATACCTTATATTGTTGATCGTCTCACCATTTATTATCAGACCAAGATCTTCTTCCTCGAGTGCTTGTTCACATATAGCTTCACTATACAGATTTAATAAAAGTGGCGATAAGATACATCCCTGCCGGACTACTCGACGGATTTGAATTTCTTCTGTTAGTCTGCCCTCAACCTTGACATTTGCTGTTTGATTTCAATATAGATTGCATATAATTCGAATATCTCGGCTGATATGGTGATTAAGTTTTCACCTTGTCGCGAAGTTCAAAAGAGGTTAGGTTGGCCTTACTAAGTCTTTCTGCATAAGAAGGTCTTATCGGTTCCAAAGAAATTCGAGTGGCTTTTCTTTGAACATTTTCCAACAAAGTTTTGTCTCGAACCAAATCAAATTTTTGTTAAAAAACTGTAAGCAAATTATATTATCATCATCATCATCATTAACCAGGCTCTAACGTCTACTGCTGAGCATAGGCCTCTCGCATGCTTTTCTACTTTGTCCATTAGTATCCATTCCAAAATTCTTTTTGTCCACCGGTCATCAACTGATCTTGCTACATGACCTGCCCAGTGCCACAATATCTCGGCTGTCTATATTTTTCTTTATTAGAACTTGTCTTAGTGGTTCATGTTGTACTTTGTCAAATGCCTTTTCGAAATCAATAAAGCAGGCGTAAATTTCTTGGTTCATGTCTAAGCATCTCTGTGAAAGAAAGTTTATTGCAAACAGAGCCTCCCTTGTACCCAGCCCTTTTCTGAATCCCATCTGAGTGTTACTGATGTATACGTCTAATTTCCTATAAATCCTATTATGGATTATTTTTAAGAACAGTTTTAGAGCATGACTCATCAAAGCTATCGTACGATATTCGTTGCATTCCTTTGTATTTGCCTTTTGTGGCAGTAGTATAAAGGTCGAACGGAGCCATTCCCTAGGTATTATTCCAGTTCTATATATTGTGTTAAATAGATCTAGGAGTATTTTAATAGATTCATCGTCCATAAGTTTGAGCAGTTCTACGGGAATTTCATCAGGACTGGGGGCCTTACCACTTTTTGATTGTTTGATTGCATATTCTATTTCTTCTCTGATTATATCAGGCCCTGTATCATCTGTATATTCGTTTGAGATTTCTTGTCTATCTTTGTCATCAAACAGTTGTGATATGTATTCTGTCCATCGGTTCATTTTTTGTTGTAAATCTGTTATAATTATACCATCTGTATCTTTGATCTGTCCTGTCTGTGCTGTTCTTCTCCTTCCTGTCATTTCTTTAATCTTTTTGTGTACATTAAAAAAGTCATATTTTCGCTAAAATTGTTCCAACTCCTGGCATTGCTCACTTAGCCATCTTTCTCTAGCTTCTCTTATTTTCTTTTTTATCAGTTTATCTGTTTCTTTGTATCTTATCGGATTATTTGTTTTGTAATTTAGCAATGCCAATATTCGGAACGAATAGGCACTGAAAGAAGAATTTAGCAATAGAAACCTATAAATTTACATTCTATTCACTGTTTCCCACCTTTAGACGTATCAGAGGAGGATGTCAACTAAAACTGTCACTGTCACAGCGGTAGTTTCTAAACTCTTACGTCTAAAGGTAGGAAACAATAAATGAAATGTAAATTTATAGGTTCCATCGCCAAATTTCCCATCTCCACTATCAATTGCAACTTCTGATACGGAAAAACCCAACCAAATATTGAACAAGGGAATATGAGCTCTTACATCATAATACTTTAGTGATATTGATAATGATGGTAGTATGATATTGTATTAATAGGTAAATACAAAGTTTGAGAAGACATTATTCAAATATCTTTTCTAAAAAATATATGACCAGAGCGAATTTACCTATGCCCTTTTCTATGGGGTATTAAAATCTGACCGCGGGAGCCAACTAGTACACACCTGAATTTTCTATACCTAGAAATAATCTGTGATATTTATTTCATTCGTTTTGGTTGCATTATATATTTCACATTTTCATTTTACTACTTTTTATTATTAGTTTGAGGGTTTTATTATTTTTTTTACTAAAAAACTCTTTTGTTTTAGATATAAATGAATGCGACGACCCCGCGATAGCAGCCAGATGTGTGGAAAACTCGGAATGTTGCAATCTTCCGGCTCATTTTCTGTGCAAATGTTTACCTGGATATGAAGGAGATGGAGAAGTTCAGTGTGTTGGTAAGTCGACCAAATTTTTCCCCAAAAGTCATCTGTTTTACATCAGTCGTACTGCTTCGTCTTCGAAGTCCTTAGGAATTCAGCATTATTATAATTATTATTATTATACATAAGCGAGGGCAGAGGGAAATCCCTATTATGTCCAAAAACAAAAAAATTACATTAGTAACCTACCAATATATTACAAAAAAAAAATTCAAAATATCAATTTTTGGTTAAAAAGAAAAACAATATTTTAAATAGAATATAAAACAGTCAAGTGTGTTTTTGAAGGCGTTGGTAAATGGAATAGAGACAATGTTATCATCAAGGTTATTCCAGAACTCTACTTGGTAGAAAGTTCTATATCGAAGAAATATTTCATCGAGATTTTCAAAATTGAATTTTAATATTTTAAATATAGTGATTAAGTTTCCACCTTGTCGCGAAGTTCAAAAGAAGTTAGGTTGGCCTTACTAAGTCTTTCTGCATATGAAGGTCTTATCTGTTCCAAAGAAATTTAAGTGGCTTTTCTTTGAACATTTTCCAACAAAGTTCTATCTCGAACCAAATCAAATTTTTGTTAAAACCAACTCTTTTTGTGGCAGTATGGAATTCTTGAAGCATTATCTGTGGCTGATTAAAGCTGTCTGCAATAAAAACGATATCATCTGCAAATTTAAGGTTATTTAAAATTTTTTTATCTATATTGATGCCCTTTTCGTTCCAATCTATTGTTTTACAAGTGTATTCTAGCAAAGTTGTAAATAATTTAGGAGACATGTTGTCTCCTTGCCGAACGTCTCTTTCAATACGAAAGGTGTCAGTATCTTCATGAAGTCTTACATAGGCTGTAGCATGCTGATAGATGTATCTGATGAGGAATATGTGTCGGTGATCTATTCTACATTGTGTTAGAGCTTGAAGCATTTCACTTTGATTGACCGTATCAAATGCTTTTTCAAAATCGACAAAAACAAGTATCAGGGTCTATTATATTCAATGGTTTTTTCAATTAACGACTTAATGGTTTGCAAATGATTATTTGTTCCGTATCCAGCTCTAAATCCTGCTTGCTCGCAAGGTTGATAGAAGTCGAGTTTTGATCAACCTATTAGTTATTATCTTCGTAAACAACCTATAAACGTGAGATAACAAGCTAATAGGTCTATAATTCTTTAGCTCTGTTATATCTTCCTTTTTGTACATGACTACTATAACAGCTTTATTCCACTGAGATGGTGTAACCTCTTTTGAAAGGCATAAGTTATATAATTGTGTCAATGCTTTCAATACTGTCTTTCCTCCTGCTTTAACTGCCTCAATACCGATTTGGTCATCACGGGCTGCTTTATTGTTTTTCATTCGATTTAATGACTTTCAGACTTCTTCGAGTTTAAATTCTAGGATATCCTCTGAACCCACATTCTGGACTTCTCAACTTATTGCCGTCTTTCTTACCCCTTTCTCTATATAATTCTGTGTAAAATTCTTCAACTACCTTAACTATTATCTTATCTTTATCTGTTCCCACTTTTGTATTTCGATCTGCGAGCTTAACAAAATTCTTCTTACCTAGAGCTTGATATCTCTTCAGCACCTTTAAACTTTTATTTTCCTCGACAACCGTTGTAATCTTTTTTGTGTTATATTGCCGTACGTCCTTTCTCACTGCTTTATCAATATCTTTATTGAGTTGTTGTAGTATGCGTGCATTCGTATCGTTTTTGTTCTTAAGTTATCTTTGTGTCTCTATAAGTCGTTTTGTCCCTTGACTGATTTTTTCCTCCTTATCTCTCCTAGGATTTGTATTGCACTTTTTCTCTGCGTTCTTAATAGTTTTTATTAAGTTATTATTTAAGGTTTCGACATCCATAACGTCTTGGATTTCATCCTATTTGGTGTGTTTTTGTTATCATTTTGTATCTTTGTTTTTGGAGATTGGAGTTACCATTGATGACTCCATCTGGACTTGCCCATTTTCTTTGGGGACTTTTTTTAAAAAAGCTAATCATTGCAAAGAGGCCATTTCGTACAAAGAAACCCAAAAACATTTCGCTCTTTTATTTCTTTGTCCGAATCCGTAGGGACCTATTGCAACTTCGGTTCCGTCCAGTTTACATCCCAACTTAGCATTAAAGTCAGCCATTACTAGGTTATATGTGGTAGGCGCCAGTTTTATGGTATATATATATATATATATATATATATATATATATATATATATATATATATATATATATATATATATTATGTTATGTTATAAATTATATGTTAATGGGAAACTCACGTAATACATATCTTAACGATTAAACAATATCTGTTTTTAGACATCGATGAATGCCGCAATCCCAACGCTTGCGGTCCAAATGCTATTTGTCAAAATACTCCCGGAAACTACACCTGTTTATGTCCGGAAGGTTTCCATGGAAATCCATACAGTGGATGCATCGACTTTGACGAATGCCAACACCCACATGCTTGTGGACCCGGTGCCATATGCCAAAACGTCGTCGGAGGGAGAGAATGTTATTGTCCACCAGGTTTGTATATCATTTTTATTCTATAGTATATTTTACGAATTTGCGACGATATTTTGTATTAAAAATGAAAGGTTTGATTTAAATAATGTAATTTGCTGAGAAAGTTTGGAAATGATTTGGCTAATTTTGATTTTGAAATATTTATAAAAGTCCAAGGAACGTTTAGAAGATGAGAAAATTTGATGAAATTGTAAGGAGAATAGTAAAAAATAACTATTTTATGTTCATATTTAATCAGTTATATATACTTTTTTGGATTGATATCACTAGAACCGTGGCTATCGTCACATCTATTTACTTTTTTTACCTTACACACGAATAACTGGAGTTCGATTTTATGCCGAGAAGAATTTTTTGTTTTTTTAATCAATATCCAACTTGTAAATACAATACATTTTGAAAACGGCTATCGCCGTATTCCCGTACTCCTCCGCCAATCTTCCCAGTCCAAAGCATGCTCCTCCTCCAAATCTCTCGATTTCATCGCTCTTCTAATTCCTTTCATTTCACGAGCGTCAAGTTCTACCTCTTTTTCTTCTTTTAGGGGGCTTCCATCTATGAAGTTTTTGGGGCCAACGTTCGTCAGGCATACTCCATAGATGTCCAAACCATTGTGACTCTTCACAAGGAATCTACGTTCCTGTAGTTGGCTGTATACCATGTATTAAAAATTTAATTAAAAATCCTTTGTAATAGGTATATATTTAAGGCCCAAACGGGCTAAGTTAAAAAGGCATAACGTTTTCGGAAACCATGTTCCGTCATCAGTGTCTAGGAGTACATGAATGTAGCCACCAAGATTAAATATATGGGTAAAAACCCGTTAACAGATGTTTAATTACATTTAGTTTTAAAAATACGTTATAATAAAAGATTATAGAGTTACCGATGGATTAGGTAACATGGCGACATATGACTCCACGTTGAAGTTGCTAGTCCTGAGACGGTATGTCTTCGAGGACTGTATGAGTGCAACTGAGTTTTTAATTAAACATTGTGAACCTCTTCTTTCTATTCTGTCAATGACAGTTTCTGTAGCATTTATGCTATTTATTATAGATTCGTTGGTCTTCCTTTTTAGCCTTCATGTTCTAGCGTTTCTTCTCAAATAATCGATTTCAACTGCTAACAGGTCTGCAATATTTGTCCATACTTCATAGCCATAACAAAGAACTGATATTCAACCATAGTTTGCCCTATTATTCTTTTGTTCCTTTTGGAAATGTTGCGATCCCACCATAAGGAGTTCAGATATCCTACAATTTTACGTCCCTGATTAATTCGGTGTTTAATTTCGGTGTCTCCCAACCATCTGTCCCACAATTAGATATTCTTTTTACTCTGCAGTCTTGTCACTTAAATTTTAGAAATCCATTATAATAAAATATTGCCCTCTCGCTTTACATGTACCAAATAATATTAAGTTTACTATTTTTTGTAGGTTATGAAGGTGACGCTTATACGACAGGTTGCGGTGACATGGACGAATGCTCAAGATCCCAGCCTTGCGGCCGCAACGCCCTCTGCTCCAATCTAGACGGAAGCTTTAAATGCACCTGCCCACCCGGGTTCATAGGAAATCCCTTGACTGAATGCACAGGTATTTGTTTGGTCAATAACACCTGCCCTTGTACATACAAAACTCCCTTGTATATATACACTACAAATTTCAACAAGTGAAGACTGATTTTCTTGAAAAAGTTTCATGAATAAGATTGTTGCTGAGAATTAAAAGTCAGATGTAGTGTAGGATAGTCTTACAGCTGAACATAGCTTGGAAAAACTTCTCAAGATGCAAAATATTAAACTATAATACAAGAATGTATAAAATTCATCTTGAAAGTTTTTCGAAACAATGCGATTTTAGTGACAACCAAAATAATTACTACCAAATATTTTTGAAAAGTCTAAGTTATTTTTTTTTCTAATAAATCAAAAGGATTACCATAATACTAATCAGTTTATTATTGATTAAATTAATTTGAAGTAGTAGTCACCATTTTTCTACTTAGTTGAATTCTTTGTGTTGGTGAGATAGATCTTGCCTGGACGTCGCCTATCAGTTGTCAATTATCATGTCATTTGTCAGATGTTTTGTTCGCATGGAACTAGAACATATGACAGATGTCATTAAACTTGATAATAGAAATATAGTGTATTGAAAAATGGATTATTTGCTAAATCTAATGCACGAAATGTATCTTATTGTTGGTTAAACATATTAAAAAATAAATATTTTGGTGTCACATGTAGTAATTTTTATAACAAACTCATTAATAGTTTTTGAAAGACTAATTAATGACCTACAAAACTTCTACGAAAATCAGTTTTTTTTATTAACACTACAGATGTTACTTATGGTATTTCAAAAACTGTAAAACATTCTCATGATACCGAATAATCAACTAATTAAACTAAGTATCACCTACATAGAGAATATATTCACGGCTGAATAATGCGCTAAAAACAATTAATAAAAAATAATTGACGTCATGAAAATCTCAAAATAATCTACCAAAAAAATCGTTCATTCATTTTGTACATTACATTTTAAATGGTTCTTGTATATATTAAAAATAAAAATAATGTTAGAAATTGTTTAGAGGAACACTATATTCAAGATTTTCATGAAATACTATTGTACAGAAACATAAAATTGAAACTTAAACTGCTGATTTTTTTATAGAAGAAAACAAAATAGTATTCCGCAGACATTAAATATAGAAAAACATAACAAACGACGCTGTAAACAATGCTTTTTTAATAATACTAACTCTTATGCTCTATATTTTTGTTTGTTACACTCCAAGAGGCAAGAGGATTTACCAAAGTTTATATAGAACAGTGGTGAAAGGAATTACACTACATTCAAAAGAGACTCCCTAAATGAAACCAAGTTTAGTTAAATTCAAGCGTTCTGTCATTTGGGTTAAGCTCTGCTTGAACATCCGTATCAACCTGACTAGTTTTTTTGGAAAGCCAAGTTTCTGCATCGCTGTCCACAGTACGTACCTGTATACTCTATCAAATGCTTGTTTAAAATCTATGAACATCTGATGAAGCTTACGATCAAACCCCCAGCATTTTTCCATAATCTGTTTTATTGTGAATAACTGCTCAATAGTAAAGCGGCCCGGTTTAAATCCGCATTGATAATCTCCAACGATTTCTTCTGTGTATGTTTTGGTTCTTTCTACAGGATGTTTGCAAGGATTTTGTAGGTGGTGTTTAGGAGTGTTATTCCCCTGTAGTTAATGCATTGCTTTTTGTTTCCTTTTTTGTGTATTGGTACAATAACCCCTTCTTTCCATTCATCTGGCATTGTTTCTTTTCGTCAAATGTTTTGAATTAGCTTGTAAATAGAACTGTACAACGCTTCTTCCTCCATGTTTTAAGCACTCTGCTACTTGGTGTCTTATTATTTTTAATTTTTTTAATTGCCTGCATTACTTCTTCGTATGTAGGGTATTGGTCTTCTATTTCAGCTGTATATACCTCTATGTTTGATGTATTTCTGCTAGATTGGTCGCTCAGTAGTTGATAGAAGTATTCCTTCCAGGTTTTTAGGATTTCCTTGTCATCCGTGATAAGCTGTCCACTGTCGTTTTGAAGGAAGTTTCCTGTTCTTGCTTGGTACTCGGTCTTAATATCTGAAACTCCTTTGAAGAACTGTGTCGCTTGTTTGTTCTTTCTTTTTTCGTCTATATCTCTGATTGTTTGTTCCTGATACTCTATCTTCTTTCTTTTCATTAGTTTTCTTTTCTCTGTTCTTCTTCGTCTATACATTTCATTGTTGTTCTGCGAGGGGTTTTGTAGCATGTTCCTTCTAGCCATATTTCTTGCTGTTAGGCAATTATCATCGAACCATTTTTTGTTGTTTTCTTTTTGTGTCCTAGTATTTCATCTGATACGCTTGTCAGAGTTAATTTGATATTTTTCCAAGCTTAGTCTATGTTGTTATAGTCTTCTGTCTGTGTTAGAGCGATTTTTATAGCCTTTTGAAATTTCTGTTCTGTCTCCTTACGTAGAACTTCGGTATTCTATAATTGTGTTTTTGTATTCTTGTATGTTTTTTGGACGCTAGTCTTGTCCTTATCTTTGCTGTATCTGAATTTGGGGACCTTTTTTATGTTCTTATTGTTTACTCTCATATTTAATTGCATATTTCGTATTCTATTAACCACCATTACCTTCGTCTTGTCTATATTAATCTTCAAGCCCAGTCGTCCTCCTTCAGTGTTTATTCTATCTATTAGTCGTTGTAGTGCTTTTTGGTTATCAACTATTATGATTATGTCGAAAGCTCGATGAAACCAAATATGACCGATCAAAATGAAGTAAGTTTAATATTACCATTTATTGTTATAACAAATAAGAAGAGTTTCGCCGAAATCTTTCGGAAAACATATAGTATTCTCTTTTATTTATATTTTCTATATAAAGGAAAATGAACAACTAGAAGAATCAGTTCGAAAGTAGTAGACAAAAACATAATACACATAACTTTTAGATCTCTGAGATGAGAAGGAAAACTAATCTATATACATCTTTGATCAAAATACTACTTTAGCTATAAGGCAAGTAACAAAATAATAGACCGTTTGTAGAATATTACGGAGGTATTCTGCTTAAATTCTTTTTTTATATTTGAAGATGAAGAGCTGTTAAACTAAGTAATAGTTGATACCGTTATAGATTTAGAGATAAAGATACATGAAGCGTGTGTTTAGATGCGTGTGTTTTTTTGGTAAAAAGCAAGTACCAACTCGTTCTGTGATACGTTAATAAAACTTTTCTTAATATAAATTATATCATACAAATTTATACAAGAGCCATTTCAACATTAACTCACCCCATCCATATCTCAACTTAACGCTAATCAACTAACGCTTTTCTATAATCGGCTCGCCTAGACATTAACGAATGCGAGTCATCCCCCTGCGTCTCCGGAGCCACTTGCCAGAACTCTAACGGCAGCTACTCATGCTTGTGTCCCGAGGGATATACGGGAGCGGGCTTGCCCCACGACGATTGCCAAGACATCAACGAGTGCGATCGAGCGGGTGCTTGCGGAATTAACGCTCGGTGCATTAACGTTCCCGGATCCTTCAAATGCATCTGCCCCCAAGGTTTCACCGGACAGGGACACACTTTCTGTGAAAGTTAGTGCTGAATTTTCATGATTTACCATTGGATGGTAGACGATGACTATTGTTAACGCCAACTAATAACTTTTGATATTATTAAGTAGAGTTTTGATTGATATTTTTCTATGGTTAATATTTTTGTTCGACATTTTTGTCGACAACAAGTTGATATATTTATATGGTTTATTAGCCACTTGTCCTGAGATATCTAAAAAGTAAAAAAAAACAGAGGAAGATCAGTAGCAAGATGCGTATATGACATAAACAAAGCTGGCGGAATACACTGCATGGTTAAAAAAAAGTAGATAGGTAGCCACTTTAGGACACTTTATACTTTGACCCCAGTTTTTGGTGGAGGCTTCATTTTTTAGTGCAGGCGTTTAATATGTCACGTTTTGTATTACACGATACGTATTATGTCATGTTTTATGTCACGTTTTATGTAAAATGTCGTCTTATGTCAAGTCAGGTTTTTACATCACGTGACATAATACGTGACATTTGACATAATACTTGACATAAAACGTGATACAACACATGACATTTAATATAATACGTGAGATTTTGCATAAAACTTGACATAATACGTGACATATTACGTGATATAAAACGTGACAGAATACGTGACATAATACGTGACATTTGACATAATCTGTAACATTTGACATAAAACCTGCCATAATACGTGACACATTACGTAATATAAAAAGTGACATTATATGACATAAAACGTGATAGAATACTTGACATAAAACGTGACATATTACGCGCCTTTTCTGACTTCTTGGTGATTGTATATTCCAAGCATTCGAGGTATTAAAATTGTAGATAGAAATAGATGAAATATATCTCTTTGATATAAGGAGAATCAGCATAAACATTAAGAAACATAAATCACAAATACTCCAGTTTTTATTTGGAACAGCAGAAGAAAGCTTTTGGAAAAGCTTTACAAAACATTTTAATGTGCCCACATTATTAAATTGCTTGGAAACTTGGTAAAGAACAGCTTTTTAAATGTTGAGAGATAGAAGACTGTGCAGGGTATGAATGATGGATAGAATTACGAATGTTTTGAAATTTGCAATAATAATTACAAAACTGTAGTACTATAATAGTTATACTATACTTTGTTTGAAGAGAAATATCACAGAATGATCTCAGCTGTTTATTACAACCAAAATACCGCTGCAGATGACAGTGTTTGATCATAACAAGAAGATTCCCAAGATAAGAAGCTAAAAATCTGTATAAAAATCTTTATTGTTAAAGAAAAAATTTTACATGATTTGATATTCTTTGATGTGCAGGGTTCAGAGTATCTGCGCAACAAAGATGACGATGTGGCGTTAACAATGGTTCATTCGGAATGCAGTATTTTAGATTTTCATCTTATTTTTCATAAAAAAAAGAAACACAAAGAGGAGTTAAAATTGTGCATACTAATATTTAAGTATATTAAAATTATCAAAAAGTATACTAAATTTTCTATATTCTTTAGTGTATGAATAACATCGGAACTATTTTATTGCC